AGAGTCTTGGGGGCAGGGGAGCACGCGAAGTCTCTTCCTGCTCTGGGAGGCAGGTCTGAGCACCATGTGCTCCTTGCAGGGTGGGGGCAGGGTGGAAGAAACTTCATGTGCTTCCCCTGACCCTCAGGCCCTGATTGGTCTGGGGGCGAGGGAGCACACAAAGTCCCCGCCCACCCTGCCAGGAGCACATGGTGCTTCTAAGTGCCATGCACTCCTTGCAGGGCTAAGGAAACTTCCTGCACTTCTCCCCGCTCCCAGACCATAATTGGGCCTCTGCAGGCTGGATCAACCCGCTTGGTGAGCTGGATCCAGCCTGCGGAAGCCATTTTGCCCTCCCCCCCCCAACCCGCCACTCCCTTGGGATGTTGCAGACTCAGGCATGTCAAACGTGGTTCAGCTCCGACTGGTGAGCGGCCCCAATCGCTGCACTGGGAGAGTCGAGGTGCTGCACGACCAGCAGTGGGGAACCGTGTGCGATGACGGCTGGGACATAACTGATGCTGGTGTGGTGTGCTGGCAGCTGGGCTGTGGGACGGCGGTCTCAGCCCCCGGCGGGGCTCGGTTTGGACAAGGAGATTACCGTATCTGGCTGGATGATGTTCAGTGCACAGGGACAGAAGCTGCTCTTACCGAATGCAAGGCTCGGCCATGGGGAGACAATAACTGTCACCACAGAGAAGACGCCGGGGTTGTGTGCTCAGGTAACCCTCCTCCGTCACAGTACTGTTTTCAGGGAATTATCCACAATGATTCCAAGGTCTCTTTCTTAAGTGGTAACAGCTAATTTAGATCCCATCATTTCTCTGTGTATCGTTGGGATTATATTCTTCATGTGCAATACTTTGCGCTTGTCAACACTGAATTCCATCTGCCCTTGTGTTGCCCAATCTCCCAGTTTTGTGAGATCCCATTGTAACTCTTTGCAGTCAGCTTTGGACTTAACGACCACCTGCTGAGTGTGCAAAAGGTGGGCATGTGGGGGGCACAAAGGGGGGCAGGGAGGGTTTTTTATTGCCTCAGGCTACGTCTATACTGCAAGGCTGTGTCTACACTGGGCCACTTATTCCGGAAAATCAGCCGCTTTTCCGGAATAAGCTGCGAGCTGTCTACACTGGCCCTTGAATTTCCGGAAAAGCAACGATGCTCTACTGTACAAAATCAGCCGCTATTCCGGAAAAACTATTCTGCTCCCGCTCAGGCATAAGTCCTTATTCCGGAACACAGTGTAGACAACCCAGTAGCCTTTCCCGGAAAAAAGCCCCGATCGCGAAAATGGCGATTGGGGCTCTTTTCCGGAAAAGCGCGTCTACATTGGCCACAGACACTTTTCCGGAAAAAGGGCTTTTCCGGAAAAGCAGCCTGCCAATGTAGACGCTCCTTTTCCGGAAAAACTGAAAACAGAATAGTATTCCGTTTTAAGCATTTCCAGAAATTCATGCCAGTGTAGACACAGCCCAAGCCTCTTGCAGAAGAGCAAATGCAAATGGAGCGCTCTTATTTTCTCAAAAAAATGAGGCAGAATGGCTCTTGCACAAAAGGGGTTTTTTTTCACAAAAAGGCACTGTCTACCCAGCGCTTTTTTGCACAAAAACCTCTTGTGCAAAAGGGAAAGGAAGGGGAAATGAAAATGAGATCCCTGCATATGCAAATGAGCATCTCATTTGCATTTGCCCTTCTGCAAGAGGCTTGCAGCATAGCTGTAGCCTCAGGGTGAAATGTATCAGCACAAGGCAGCTTCCCGGCTGTGCTCTTAAAGGTACAATTGCCCTGATGCCTTGGCTCTCACTGCAAGCCCTCACAGTGCCCTTTTCGGCTCTGCTACAGTACAGTGGACAGAACACTGTAAAACAGAGGTGGGGATTCTTTTTTGGGGTCAGAGGCCAACGACCCACAGAAAAATCGGTCGGGGGCTGCATGCGACTGAGAAGCAAAACCAAAAAACAAAACCAAAAAAACCCACCAAGAAACCCCTTTCAATGATGTGGCCCCCGAGTGAGAAGCAGAAAGACACTCCCTGCATTCCCCTCCCGCATCAGAGCCTGGGGGGGGGGGGGAGGGCAGTCTAGATTTTGTGTGCTCCAGCCCCACGGGAGGGCAGCAGGGGGCTGGAGTGTCAGCGCGGGCTCCCTAATGCCCAGAGCCATGGGGGCCAGATCCAGCCCTCGGGCCTGAGGTTCCCCACCCCTGCTGCAGAACATCCCACATGCAGCGTTGGAGGGAATGCGTAACACTGTCAGAGGATTTCGAAGGCTTTTGGTTCATACGTCACTTCTCCTAAAAGTTCACAAGCTGGTCTGTGATTCCCTGAATTGCACTCCCGTCCTGGGAACCCTCGTCCATGAGAGTTTTGCTCTTTTACAGATGTTGTTTCTGTTTCTCTTATTACTCTGAACATTTCATCGTTTCTCTGTATTATCATTGTGCAATGCGTGTCCTGGCACTAGGGCTACGTCTAGACTGGCCCCAAATTCCGGAAAAGGGATGCAAATCAGGTAAGTCAGCATAGGGAAATCCGCGGGGGATTTAAATATCCCCCACGGATTTAAATAAACATGGCCGCCGCTTTTTTTCCGGCTTGGGGAAAAGCCGGAAAAAAGCATCTAGACTGGCGCGATCCTCCGGAATAAGGTAGGAATAAGAGATCCTCCGGAAAAGGGCTTTATTCCGGAGGATCG